CCCCAAAACCCCAAAACCCCAAAACCCCATTTGTAGCGATCAAGGTTGAAAAATAAATTATTTAGCTGTTATGTGACGATCTCTTCTGGGTTTGAAGATGATTCTTTAATTTCATCTACTAAGATAGGCTCCTCTAATGACCCAAGCTTCGAGTTTTCAGAATTTACATCAATGGGATTCTGAGGATTGGCATGACTAGAGAGTTGATCTTGCTCATTTGTTGATTTGAAATCTCTTTTCTGAATAAAGCTATTTTCTCCTAAAAAAAAATTAATTTCTGTAAAATGTGACGATCACAGATCTGAAAGCTATTAGGTAAAACATGTTTGCAAGGGATCACTCGTATCTAGCAGAACTGAAAATATAAGAATACAAAATGAGCCTTGTTATTGGGGGTTTAGAATTGCTTAACTTAGTCAATAATCGTGACTTAAGCTGCTATTGCAAACGCGAAATATTTTTGTCCCAAAATCCTTAAAAGTTACGACATATTCGCAAATTTTGGTATTTCGACATTCTGCAAGAAACAGGGTTTCAAAGTGTTATCAGAATTTTTGGAAAAGAGCTTACCTAATAAGCTGACTAACCTGCTTACAGTCATGAAGCTGCTCATTGTGCTTCTGTTGTAAGCTGGAGGAGCTGGGGTAGGTACTATAGGGCTTCTTTTTCCCAACTGTTTTGTATGTTGGAAAGCCGAATTCTGAGCCAGTGATGTTTTACCTACATCGTCTTTACTTTGAGTGATTCCCAAGTCGTTTATTTTAGTAGGATCTGGCCTGAATTGCTGGCCTTTTGCTAGATCATCATTTTGAGGAATCTAAAATTAAATAATAGAATCAGTATTTTGTCTTAGACTAACAAATCATGAAATAAATTTTAGAATCTTTCTCTTCTGAAACACAAGAGTGGTATTAACAATTTGGACGAAGCTAAGTTTTAAGTGTAAACTTTGAATGTTTTATATCAGGCTAGACCTTAAATAGTACCTATTTAAATTAACTTAAGGAGCAAGCACAACGAGTTTGGAATCTCTGGCTTAATAAGCAGGTATAGTTCAAAAATCTGTAGAGATTGCCTTGCGAAGGAAATGTTGGTGAATTTGTTGATATTCATTTGATTTGAGATTATTTACAATTTTTTGTTTGACAAGAGTATTTGTGAATTTAAAGCAAATATATCCCAAGGCTTTCTAAATTTTTACGATCAAAGATAAGTTTAGATATCATTAAAGCAGGTGAGACTCTAGCTCTGGTAAAATTTTGACTCAACTCAAGCTGAAATATTAAGATATCTTTTTATTTCTAGAGAGCCAAATATAAGACAATATGCGTCAAATGTATTTCGCCTAGTACCTCAATGTTGTTGTTTTTGAGAAGTATCATCATCTCATTTTGGTTTTGAGTCAAAGTCTTGATTTTCTGCTGAAGTTCAGCATTTTGTTTCTCCAAGTTCTGATAGTACTGCTTCTTTCTTTGCCGAAATTCTCTTGCTCTTTGTTTGCCTGACTTCCGCTCTCTATTTTTGCCTTTCGAAGCTAGTACCCTACTCAAAGGATCATCAAAGGAATGGTCTTTGCTATTTTGGCTAATTTGTCCGACTCCTTCATCATTTTGAACTATCTGTTGGCTTGAAGCACTTGAGACTGATATTTTTGTGACGCTCATAGAATTAAATATTATTGATATTACACTACGTCGTTCCTAATTATTATACGTAACAACTTATCGGTCAATATATATATAATTTTGCGGGGTTTTGGGGTTTTGGGGTTTTGGGGTTTTGGGGTTTTGGGG